TCATCTCCCAGACTGGAAAAGACACAGATCATCTCCCAGACTGGAAAAGGCACACAACACCTCCCAGACTGGACACATGGCATCTCCCCACGCATGGCAGATTATGCCCAGGTTTCTCTCCCATCCAAGAGAGAGCAGCCACTCCAAGACACCTTCCAGGTATTTTTTTTCCAGGAATGAAAACAGAAGGAAGAGGACGGGATGAGGAGGCAGCCCAGACCCTGCACTGCTGCTCCTCCTCACTCCTTCCCCTGGCCCTGCTCGGAGCCAGCCCTTCCCAGCTGGAAGCAGATTCCACTCTGCACTTGTAAAACTGAAATTTAACCTGCTGGAAACACGTTAATTAAACTTGCTGGTTCTCCTCTCCGAGCAATTCCCAAATGTGGTGCTGGGAGATGAGGATTTCAGCTTTTCCCTCCAGATAAAATCCATCAGGCTGATGCAGCTCCACCCTGGAAACCTCTCTTTGCAAGAAGCTGGTGCATCTTTCATTCCTCTCTTTCACCTTGTTACACTCAGCACATGGAGGGTCCTGCCTGGGCTCTCAGGATAAATCCCTGGAGGAAATCCTGGCACTGCCCAGACCTGTGACCGACCCCACACAATTCCATTAACAACGATGATACAGAAAAGCAGAGAAAGCCAGGGAGTGTTTCTGCTCTGTCCTGGAAAATAATTCCCATCCACATCTCTGTACTGACCAAAAAAAAAAAATGCATCCAGGACCGAAATGGAGAGTTTAGAACTTCCCCCCCAGTTCCGAGGCCGGCAGCGACTGCTCAGCTCAGTTTTGTACATTCACATCAGAACAGCCAAAGCTTCTGCAGCAAAGTTCAAAAGAATTTTCAGCACAGCTCAGCGAGTCCCTGGCCTGTATTTATAACACTCCTTCAAAAGCTCCAGAGGTGGGGAGGCAGCTCTGGAAAGGGCAGTGGGAGGATCCCGAGAACTGCGCAGAGCTTACCCCAGATCCTTTCAGAGAGTCACAGAATCCCAGGATGGTTTGGGTGGGAAGGGACCTTAAAGCCCATCCAGTGCCACCCCTTGCCATGGGAAGGGACACCTTCCACCGGCCCAGGTTGATCCAACCTGCCCTTGGACACTTCCAGGGATCCAGGGGCAGCCACAGCTTCTCTGGGCAACCTGGGCCAGGGCCTGCCCACCCTCCCAGCCAAAGGCTCCTTAAACCCCTCACTACCTGCTGAAGGATTACAGGGTCACACCACAGAATCCCACTGGGAATTGCTGTGAAGTTTCTTGAGCAAAAGGCTCAAAAATTTTTTTTTTGAAACTTCGTTTTCCACAGTGGGAACTGTTCCCGTGCAAGCCATCCTTGTTCCTGTATTTTACACATTCAGAGAATCCCAGGATGGTTTGGAAGGAACCTTAAACCACACCAGTGCCACCCCCTGCCATGGGCAGGGACATCTTCCACTAGCCCAGGTTGCTCCAAGCCCCGTCCAACCTGGCCTGGGACACTTCCAGGGATCCAGGGGCAGCCACAGCTTCTCTGGGCAACCTGGGCCAGGGCCTGCCCCCCCTCCCAGCCAAAGGCTCCTTAAACCCCTCGCTACCTGCTGAAGGATTACAGGGTCACCCCACA